GCACCTCGAGGACCGAAGTCCAGTGCTCACTTCACCATCTTACACTACCTATTATAATTAAAATAGTGTAGTGGCGACACTGTTTCAGTTTAACATTTTTCTTGTCTAATATTATTTAGTAGAAAATCCAAGATTGAAAAGCTAGAACACAATGAGGAACATTATTATGCATGAGAATCTTGAAAGTGGTGTCTTAATAGCATCCTTCCCAATGAAATAGTTGATTATATACATTATATTTGTATGACCTAGGTACAATCTTTAAACAGAAAAATGTATATGATTAATTTCGCTAGTCTAACCACATGTTGTGAGGAGTATAAAATGGATTTAAATGTTTTTAGTGTTTTTCTCTTCCAATTTTAAGACATGCCAATTAAACTTATAAAGAAATGTTGTGAAATTATATTTTAATGACAGAACATACACTATACTACACTATACAATTGTTATATTTTTTTAACATATCTCAATGTATTTCGTCAGATTTTAAGGATAAGCTATCTAATTCTAAAGCGTATTTTGGCAGTCATCACACGATATGGAGAAATGAAACATAAAACGTACAGTGACTAGTGAGCTTGCCTGGATCAGTGAAGCAATCTAGAATCGGATCACTTGCTACAAATAATGCTCCCATTCTACAAGGGTGTTAGTTTTATGGCTTATTGACTACCATATACCGGTATAAAGCGATTTACTTCGCCCCAATGGCAAGATGTCTTTTAAAGGTAATCTAAATCCCCTTATACTGTATAGACTGTTTGACTACCATGCATACTTGTTACGAAATTGTGTCTAATTTAAAAGTCAAATGTAAATTTTATGCAAAATTTGTAGGCGGAAGGTAGGTTACTGAGGGTATATTGGTCGTGATATTACTAACCTAATGATCCGGAAACAGTATCAGGGCTATAAATCACGGAACGGGGCCTGGTAAGCTTTGTAGGGTTCTTAACTACCCCTAATAATAGGCCTATGGTTTTAAAATGGCCACTTAACAAAATTTTTACGATAGTCTATGAAATTCGTAGTTTTATATTCTAGTGTGTTGTACAGAACGTCATACAAAACTAGTGTACCTGTTGCTCGAAATCGAGCAATTTTCAAGTACCGATATTATACAGAAGTTATTTTAAAACTACAGTAATACCAGTCATAATTTTCGATGAGTTTAAAAGACCCGATTTAACGCTTATGTAACTAATCTAAATACTCACGCTATTTAATAGCGCTTTGAAATAATACGCTTCTTGTAAAAATATTGTAGCATTTTATGGAGCCGGCCTAATTTTATTGTGTTTTCTACAAATGTTTCCCGACTTAAAGCTGTTACCAGTGAACATTCCATGCATGCATTTATATGCTCAGACTTTAGGTAGGTTTACTTTACCACTGAGACAACATGATGTGTATATTCTTCATGGTTTTTTTTACTTCCAAAATAAGTTGCTTAGCATAACTGGCAAAAATGATTCATCTCCCCAAGTGGTTGTGTACCTGGTTCCTTACTGTGAGACCAGGCCTCTCCTCTACTCTCTCATATGTATAAGATTTCTCCTCCTGTTTCAATATTTCTCCTTTATACTCAAGAAATTTTCTGTTCTTCCAAAAAAATTGATTGACTGTTTAGATTTGTATATAACCACCTAAATTTTACAAACATCAATCCAAAACAACATCCAAAAAGCTGGTGAGTTTCTTTTTATATAGCCTACAGCTCTTTTTGTTTTCATTTGTGTTCAATGTAATTCTTATGGGGAAAATGCGGCCTTTGAGAGCGTCTAGTAAGAGTTTTTAAATTCTAAAACCTTTACGCAAAAGTACAAATTGAGACGAATTATTTGACACCTAAAATGTTAAAATCGGTTGAGAAATAATGAAGGAGTTTTGTTTACAAAAACAGCCCTCACGTATTAATATAAGAGATTCTCTAATTGGCTGATATCTTTGGGTCGGTATTATAGGGTTTGATCATTAGTTCCAGCTTGAGTTGCAGTTAAACTTACCAACAATTAGAAACGAAAGTCTTCATAATATGTATAGTTATGACATTCTTATGTTGTCGCTGCGACGAGTATCCTTATGGTACAATTTTAGGTACCACATTTTGACTAGAGGTCTAACAGAGTTTCATAATGTGAAACCTTCAAGGTGCAGTCCTGGGATGAAGGATTCTTTAAATATCTTTGATATCGGAACATCAAAGAGTTTGCACTTCTTTGGTCAATAATCATGTGCATCGACTGTTCTATTGTGCTGCACTATCGGCCATCGCGTTTTTCCTGAATTGCTTAAACAAAGCTGATTTATAACAATACTCAATATTCAGACGAAATTGATTGTATTTTTTTTACTTAAGAAGAAAAGGTGAATATTGTTTTTATTTGCCCATTAGTTGTTTTATAGGTCATAAAAATTTTATTACCTATGACAGTTTTTTATAGTAGCCATTTAAGTTCAGTTCTTAGAATTGAAAATACTCACTTAACAGCATTGTTTACTTACTTAACAGTATTGATTTTTACTTAACGACACGGGTAACGGACCAATGAGGTTCAAGGATTGAGAGGGAAGAAGTAAAATTGTAATGCTTTTAACGTCAACTAATCAGCTGATCAGACCAATTTAATTGTTGAGTGGTGCAATTAGTATTTGGTAGGTACAATGTGTCGTTGCACCATTGTTAGTGAAAATGAGACGTTACAAACGAAAACAACCTCTCTGTGAAGTTATGAGTAGCGATTATTAACTAAAAAACCGTCTAAGGTAAAATAGTGTACGGTACTCGCGTAAATAGTCTTAACGACACTCACCAAGGATCGTGCCTTAAACTTCTACTCATGTCGTTAAGACTATATTTACGCGATCGTTGCGTAAACTACTATTACCGCACAATTTACTTATTTCATTCTTTATTCACTGTATTTATACTCTGTTTCATAATTATTTGTTCAGTTAATGCTTCGAATACTATTTGGGTCACACACTAACGGCAATTTAGTGCCCTTAAAGCCAATTGCCAGTCTGCGGTGGCCTTATTGCCATCACGGGTTTTGGTATATGTAGCATGTAAATTACAGTCTGTATTTAGCTAAAATTTGTCGAATCTGAATTTGCTATACTTTAGGTTTTATTCTACACGAAATCCGTAACCTTTATATCTAGAATTACTACGCAATTTTCCACTTAACAAGTGCTTTATCATTGATAACTAAACACTTTTACTCAAAACACATTTTTGCTCTATTAGTTGGTAAATGTAGACCTCAAATAATGAAATGTCTTTCATGTTCCTTTTCAAGGTTATTTAAAATGAAAGTACGTACACAACGAATCCCTAGAATTAATAACCAACTATTTGAAACAAAGAAATACAAAAGTCTTACTACAGGTGAGAAATCTCTGTTGCAAATATTAATAATCATTTAGTCAAGTCATTATAAGTCTAAAAGTTTCCTCATTTATAAATAAAATTCACTCCATTTCTCCAGACGCTCTATTATCCGACTCGTTGCCCTCTTTGTGTAGCTTTATAGTTGGTGTGAGACATTAATGACGTTTAAACTTCCCAATTAAAACTTTTAATTGTTTAATTAGTTTTGAAGTTGTTGAAAAACAAAATTAAAAATACAACTGTTTCTTAAATATAAGCTAAATAGTGGAGTTTACGCTTTTGTAATCTTGTTTGTATAACAACCTTAATAATTATAGTATATAATGATATAGATAAATTTTAAGCAATCTAAACACATGTCTCAACTGTTTAAGAAGAGTTGAAAGTTTCTTGAAAATACACAAATAATATGTGGTACTGGAAATAGTAAGAGTATTTTAGTTTATTGTTTCATTTAACTTTGATTTCAAACTAATAAAGCAAATTACATCTAAGTGAAAAGAAATAAAATTGGTATTACAAGGTTTATACTTGGCTAAGTTTTCTTTCATTACAAATACAAACAGTCATATGTGCCACAAGTTCGGGTAAGTAAGTTACTGGTTTGCGGGCTTCATTTATTATTTACTTCTGGGGAGCCCCTACACACCTGCAGTGGCATTTTTCACCCAATACTAAGATGTTGCTACCAGTTTAGAAAGAACGCCTTTGATATTAAAATAAAAACATTTAGTTTCTATATAAATATAAAATGATTTTTATCAGATTTTCTACTTCAGGATTAAGAAATATAAATAAGAAGGGAAAATTATTTGTTACATATTTTGTATGTGTTAGAGGAAAATAAAATAGTGAACCAACTGTTTAGAGAGGATTTATCTAAGAAACCAATCGAATAACAACATGAAATCGGCATTTTTACGACTACAACTCAGCTTAACTTAAATAACCTTTTGCTATTTTATCCTACTAATATTATAGATGTGGACGTTTGGATATTTGCAAGTATGTCCCCAAGTAGTGGACCGATTGGGTGGAAACGTTACTGTATTAAAGTCAATACACCACAGATGGACAAAGGCATATTTTTATTTTAAAACTTTACTTGGATTCCACCACTTTGGCTTCCATAGTTGTATGTTTGTTTTATTATTACTGTTGCTATCTGTTGTACCCGTGCTTTTCAATGGGAAGAGGACTCGAAATAGAAATATTTTGATCATTGCATCTGTTGTATAAGTTAGTTATACATCCTCCAACGCTTTTACAAACAAAATTCAACCTTTATAGATACATTTATGGCTTTTTTAACTGTAAGTAGTGAAAACCAACATTTTGGTATTGATTTATTTTACATCTTGTGTAGGCAGATATGTAAAATCTTATCAATTTTTCAAATAACATTTTTACATAAATGATTTACTTTCACCTCCCTTTATATATATCTCTTTATTTTTGACACTTTAAATTTCTTGAAGCTGCAAAACTACTAAAATGTATTAAATTTAGATAGTCGAGGCGTGTGATAATTTTAAAGAAATACATAGTAAAATTTTGTATCCTTTGACCTATGGTTTTCTTCAGTTAATCTATTGTGTTTCAGAACGGGGAAGCTGCACTATCCGACCAATGTTTGCGGTCCTCTGTTTGAGGAGGAATTGGAGTTTTGGGGGTTGGACTCCAATCAAGTGGAGCCTTGTTGTTGGTCTACCTACAGCATACATAGGGATACCCAGGCAAGCCTTTACACTCTGTTTACTTATGAATATGTTTATTTTATTGATCGGTCGTTCTTATATTCTTCACGATATATATGATTATGTTTCCAGTTCACTTTATTGCATTCCACATGTAAGATTGAACAAACCATAGTTTTGCTGTGATCCGATTATCCCAATAAGTTCCACAACCATAGAATGAGGTGACTGGTGACTAAATTTTAAAGGTTATTTAATAAGTAAATTTTGAAAAATATATTACATACATAATATTTTTGCATGCTCTAAATAAAAGTAGTCTTTAAGAATAGACAACATTTTTACTTCACTTCCAATAGACTTACCCACTTAAGATGAAAATTTACTTGAACATATTTGTCCGAAAATCTGAGAAGTTGAATAAATCAAATCAAACTTTTCTTAGCTCAAATGTTTGCAAATCCAACCTAGTTTTAAATTAATAAAACTAAACAACTTGTCAGTTGCGTTGTAAGTTGCAAAGTCTCCTAAGTGAAATACAATTGATACAAACATTTTATATATTTTATATGATTGTGATTTGTGACCAAGGTATGTTTTTTTGTTTGCGAATTTCTAGGTATGACATGCTCGGTATGTATTGTGAATTTCGATACTTACCATTTATTTCCTGTTACTTACTTGCTTCTCTTATATACAATTTAAAATATAAAGCGATCTATTAATAAAACTTTGTTTTCACTGATTTATAATGATAATAAAAGCTGTGATCTGTGTGAAAAAAAAACCTTAAGGGGAAAAAATCTAATAAAACAGATTAAATCATTGAAACGTAACCAAATATGAAACACAAATAGTGAGTTTTTTTTATTTTATAACAGAATAAGTCCAATGTATTCAAAGTTTAAAATATTTTAAAATCCTTAGTTTGATCTAAAATAGAATCAGTAAAAATTTATAATATTTCCACATTTGAAATCGGAAACTAACTATGAAATAAAATCTCAATGTCCGTAAATAATTTTGTCGTTCTGGAGTTCATAAAAGTTTAAATAAATTTGACGCATTGTTGTTTTTTAAGATGGAAGTAGAGAATGTATTTTGTCTGCTCTGTCATCTCTGACAGAAAATAAAATTACTTTGCAAGCTGCACCTGTTGCTTTCACCAGCTTATTTTATTTCGCGAGTTTACTCAAAAATGTTCAAAAGGTTTTAAGATATTCCTAATCATTTGAGTCTTCTTCACGTATTGCGAAATCCTTTTTATAATAAACAACACAAAAAAATAAAAATATTATTCAACTTTTTAAAGTATTTAAGTTTTTAAATTTTTTATTTATTTTAAATGTGCATATTTTAGTTTTCGTATTTTGTGTGAAAACACACCTAAATTATTCCCTACCATATGGCGTCAATGACTAGCCTGAAGTAATGTGTAGAACGGTTTCAGGCTAGAACTAGCGTCCTAGAATGTGACGGTGGAACATAAAGCATTGCTCATCAAAGATAAAAGTCCATTAACTCCATTGATGAGCAAATATTTATGAGCATTGGTGAGGAATGCTAAAGAGTTCATGTCAAAGATTCTGAAATACATATCCGTTTTTAGATTCAGATGAGCCTAAGATCACGACGATTTTAATATTAGATACAATATCTGAAAGATTTTACATTTGCTTTGAGTATTAAAAAAAAATATAGAAAAAAGTAAAAACCTGTTAAAAGTCAACATTGTCCACTCAACACGATCGCTACCACTCTTTTGATGGTAAATTAAGTATAATACATTGGTATATACAGGGTGTATATAAAGTCCCGCACGGGCTTAATATTTTCTAAACGACAACAGATACATCAATAAGATTTGGTACATCAACACCACACCTAAAAATCTACTTTTTTAAGGAACTATGAATTTTCTGTCATATCATGGGGACGTTCCGCAAGGAGTCAGAAGGAAACCTTAAATAGAAGCATAGGTCAATATGCCCATCAAATGATTGGTTTTTTTTAGTAGAATACAATGCCGCAAACCCTACTTCAAAAGGTTGATCATGCTCAAAATGGCAGCCGTTCAAAGATTTCTTGAATCTGCCACTTTGAATCTTTGAACGACTGCCATTTTTTAGGTGTTCTTTAATTTGATCTTGAATTTACGACATTGTAATCTACTAGTGAAGACCTTTAATTTGATGTGCATATCGACCTAGGCTTACGTTAACAATTTTCTTCCGATTCCTAGGTCTATGCCCCCTGAGGAGTAAGCGTATAATAGCAATGCAAATTAAATGAATCTTTGAACAACTGTCATTCTTGGCTCGGTTGTCCGTTTGAGTTCAAATTTGTGGCATTGAACTCTGCTGGCCAAGCCCTTTAAACTGATGTACATATTGACCTATGCTCCTATTTAAGATTTCCTTCTGACTCCTTGCGGGACGTCCCCATTATATGACAGAAAATTCATAGTTCCTTGAAAAAGTAGATTTTTAGGTGTGGTGTTGATGTATCAAATCTTATTAATTTATCTTTTGTCGTTTAGAAAATATTAAGCCCGTGCGGGACTTTATATACACCCTGTATACCCATGTACAGTAATAATATAGAGGTTTAAAACTTCTCTCTTCTAATTACCAATAATTTAATCGTTACCTGTTTGACATTTCTTGTATTCTTGTTTACTTATCCAATATACAGGGTGTTGAAAATGTCTGGAACCAACATTATATCTGGTGAGTGGTTAAAGAAAAACAAATGATATTTTGTGTACGGATATACTATGGTTTTACCTATCTTTTGGTGCCTTATGAAAATTTTTACCACTTATAGGGAACGTCCTGTGGAGGATGCAGTAATAAGTTTAAATGAAAGCCTATGGTAAATGATACATCATTTTAAAGGCCATATTTTTCTGAGTAAGGAGCCACAAGTTTCATCTCAAAAGGACCACCCTAGCAAAAATGACGACTGTTTGAAATTTAAATAACCACTTATAGGGAACGTTCTGTGGAGGATGCAGTAAAAGGTTTTCATTGAAGCCTATGGTAAATGATACATCATTTTAAAGGCCATTTTTTTCTGAGTAAGGAGCCACAAGTTTCATCTCAAAAGGACCACCCTAGCGAAAATGGCGACTGTTTGAAATTTAAAAATTCCGTTCCCTATAAGTGGTTTTTTAAATTTCAAACAGTCGCCATTATTGCTAGGGTGGTCCTTTTGAGATGAAACTTGTGGCTCCTTACTCAGAAAAAAATTTCCTTTAAAATGATGTATCATTTACCATAGGCTTCCATTAAAACTTTTTACTGCATCCTCCACAGGACGTTCCCTATAAGTGGTAAAAATTTTCATAAGGCACTAAAAGATAGGTAAAACCATAATATATCCGTACACAAAATATCATTTGTTTTTCTTTAACCACTCACGAGATATAATGTTGGTTCCAGACATTTTCAACACCCTGTATAACTTTAACGTTATAGTTAGTTACTAGCTGTGTGCCCGTTCTACGCACGGGGATCTTATAGTAGTCAGTTGAAACCTTCTTATATTGAGATTAAGAACAACAGTTAGTTTGCATATTTGCAGATATGCTGGCAAAACTATTATATATAAACCTTCGCAAATACAGTATCTGACAGTTCAAGCCAAAATAAATGCTTCGCAATTAAATGTCACCCGGATCGTTATGGTCCATATGTCCAATGATTAAACTAAAAAATGTTTTATAGATCCATGAAGCGTAGCCCTAAAGTAGGCCTATAATTGAAAGTTACTACCACATCGGTTAACTTAAACGTATTTAAAGTACTACCTCAACCTCACCATTTAACACTTTATTCCGGTTGACATTTTCAGTATCAAAGGTGCTCTTGTCCATTCCGTGAAACACTGAGAAATAAGGACATTAATGCGTTACCAACAGACATACACACAACAATCCAAAAAAGGCCACGAACTATTGATACATAAACAATATAAAGGCGTAAACAATTCATGATGGTTTGCCCAACAAATGTTTTACTCAAATAGGTTATCATTTTCTTAGCATACCGGGTAAGCTAAGATTTGGAATCCAGACAGAAAAAGCAAAACTTAGACATCACTTAAATTGAATACGGACGGCTCTAATAAATAAGGTGCAACACCAACGATAACTAATTTGTAAACTACAGTGATGTGTTGGTACCTACGTAAAAATGATTCTAGCAGCTACCAACGGTTCTAAGGAAAAGAACCAGTACCTACGTAAGAACCTACCTAAGAACTATAGTACATCCGACCAATTAAATACGTTAATATCTAGTCCCGAGGTTATTGATCTCTTGCTTTTGGATTTTCTCGTAAAAAGTTATAGCGTAAACTTATCGGTGTCAGTTTGAAAAAAAAAACAACCTTACCCAAACAACTTTTTGTTATTTAATAGATTACGCATTCTCTAAACAATGATTAGTATATCTATTAACATTAGAAGGAAATGTGACGAAAATCACACAATGTTGGGGTTTTGGTCATTTGTAATTATATTTCTTAAGTAGGTAGGCCATGTATTCTATGGAAAAGTACCGGTATCAAGGATCGTCGTCAAAAAGGTTGGTATGAATAAATATGTAGGCTTACGTACCCAAGATATGAGCTATGGGCCTATTGGCTGTATGGTCCAGCGATTGCATCACACGGTGAGTAGAAACAGAAAGTGACACATTGGAAAAGCGAGTTTAGCACTTCCTCTGTTAAACCTCTGTTACAATCACCCACTGCAGTTGTGATTTTTTACTTTACACTTTACACAACCGCCATTGAAGCGCCGCCAATGAGTGGAAACCTTTTTTGTAAGCTATTGGCGACGATCATTTCAGTGTCTAGCCCTATACAACACTGATTCAAGGTCTTCTTTCTGGTTGTCAAAACTCAAGAAACATTTTATACTCAAAGAATTTCTGGTTCCGATTTGGACGATGTCTAGTTATTTAATTTCATTTACGGTTACACTATTAGACTATATTATTGCACTTGCGATTAATTAAATCCGTTATGTAAGAAAAACGTTTTTAATCTCACTTGGTTGGGATTTGCTTTCAAAACGTGATTCGAAATGGTTGCGGTATTTGTAAACAACATTTGTAAACATATCATTGACAGCTGGAAAAAATAATCTTGATCCGAACAGCTGTTCGTTATTTCATAGACGATTATGTGATGAAAATTTAACGAAAATTTGACAAAAATCGCACAAAACTGCATTTTTGAACGTCCGTAATTTTATTTACAAAGTAGTGAGGCCATATTTTAATGGCTAAAGACACTCTCGCCAATCCAGTGAATACATTAAAATGACTTGGATCTTGATAGGTACTCTGGTTTTCACGGAGAAGATTGCGTAAAATGCCATCTTGAGTGTTACAGACAAAGGGAAAGACAGACAGACAGACAGACAGACAGACAGACAGAAATAGAGATAAGACTCGTTTCTGCTTCTTTAATGTATAAAACGTAAAAATAACCTAAAAGTATATAATTCTGAGCAAAGTACAGACAAAACTCTAATTTTATTTATATAGATTAGTTATAAGTTTTTTTTTTTTTAAATCACGTTAAGCATATTTAACGCAAGAAGTAAGGTGTAAA